AAGGAAATGCCCTTCCCTTCCTGGCCCCTATTGTTTCAGAAAGGGGGACGGCCTAGGTGGTTCTATGATATACGCACACACAGAGTATTTCTATTCATGTCCTATGTATGTGAACAGGGCACACTCACTTGGAATCCGGGGAGTCTGTAAAACCAGCATCACCATTAACGGACTTTACAACCTGATCCCTAACCCTGACTGTACCCTTTGCCTCTCTCCTCAGAATCCTCAGTCCTTCACTTTTCCTAAATGTATGTTATAGGTGGCCCCACGTTGGTGATGGGCGGAGGTAGGCATGCCCTGTGGTTCTGCAAAGATACCTAAAGTCAGCCCCCTGCTCTCTGCACTTTGCAAACTCTGACATGACATAAGCACGCAGGAAGGAAGTGGTCAGGGACCTCAGAGAGGTGCAAACCCGGTGCTCTCCGGCTGTTCACAGGAGGGGACATTTCTGGAAGATTCCTGGAGAAGTGAGCCTTGAAGGATGGATGGTGTTGGTGATAGACTTGCAGAGCAAGGGTGTCTTGGTGAAGTGAACAGTATGGGCAAAGTCAGGAGGTGGGAATATGCAGGTACCACCTGGAGAATGGGCGGGTCCCTTTACCAAAAAGGGGGTGAAATATTTCTGGGTGCTACTCGTATCCTGGCTAGTTGCTGTCACGCCCATCATATATTTAATATATTAAATATTATTATAATAAATTAAATATTTATGAGTGTATCAGTTTGTCATCCTCCCTTAACCAAGCAGAGATTATACTGTCTGCATTTAGTTTGGGGGTGTGTTATGGTGCCCCCTCCTCCCCCAAAAAAGATTAGTTTTGCTTCTGATGACTCTCCCCAGCTTTCCTTTCTGAGCTCTTCCCTTCCTGTGTCTCTCTGTCCCCATTCCTGTTGGTCCTGATCTCCTGCCCTCTCTGTCCACCCCCCCGAACACTACATACCTGCTCTTTTGCTTCCTTCTCCTTCCCCTCGGGGACTTGGGTCCAGGATTTTGTTCTGTTCTTATTCTCTGCCTCTGGAATCGATCTCCTAGGTGCCAGCATTTCTAGAGGGACCTTCTGGAGACCATGCCCCTGTCAAATACAAGGAGACATCTCACAGTGGCACTTTTTGGCAGGTGAGCCAGAGGCAGGCAGGCTGGGGATGGAGTCTGGGAAGCAGCAACCTGGGCTGTCCGTGCTCCTGGCCCCTCGGAGCTCCAGAGAAGAGCCCCCAGTCTTGTCTCCAGCCAGCTCGGCCCCACACCATCTTTGCATTCAAGGCCTGGCTGCCTATTCTTGGTCAAACAGACTTTCTGCAAAGTTCATCCTCCCACTGACTTTCAGTTTTCCCCACCCCCTCACATGCCCAGGGCTTTTCTGCCAAGCCTCACAATGCTTTGGGGTGAGAGCGGGGTTGATTCTCCTCTTACCCCTCCAGTCTCTTGAAAATAGCACCCTTCTCTGTGGGGAGACCAGCGCCCAGAACAGCCAGCTCTCAGGGACCTCTGCAGACCAGTGGCCTAGGCCCTTGCCTGCCCAGAGGGTAGCCTGGAGCCCCAGCCCTTCCGCCTCTGACACAGGGATGCCGGCTGAGGGTTAGTACGGCCCGGAGGCAGAAAAACGTGCTAGCTTCCTTCAGTCCTGGATACTCAGCTTTGTCTTCAGGAACTTCGGATTTAATTTTCCCTCAGCCCATGCCAAGATCAGAACTCTTGGGAACTCATTCTTGTGGCAGGAGGCCTCCCTTTGATGACCAAGTCAAATGAGATGGAAACTGGCCAGGTTGTTATAGGAACTCGGAAGAATCCCTGGAGTGGGAAAATAATGAGAACACGGGGCCATTCACCATTCAGCGACGGAAAGTAGAGCGTTCATTGTCTGGTGGCAGAAGCTGCAGTTGAGAGAGGAAGCAGGGGCTTGCCGCATCACGGGGAGGCTCGGGGGTGTCGGAGGTACGGAGAAAGGGTCTGGCTAAATTCTGGACTCAAATACCAAACTGCTCACTTTCTGTGTGACTTTAAGCACCTTAAAACAATAATCAACATGAAAAACAAATGTATGAGGTCTAGAAGAAAAATCATCCTCACTTTCGCAGTGGTTATCTCAATGGTATGTTTACAGGTGATTTAAAATATTTTTTGTGCTTTTCTGTTTTTTTTTTCTGTTCTCCTGACGTTTTCTCTCACCAGCATGGATTTGTGGAGGGGGACGGGTGCCGAAAACACAAAGCTATCTCCAGTTTGGAAACACATATTCTGGGAAGGCACTCCGGAATTTTGGAATTGGTATGCCTACATTTGAAAGGGCAGGGCAGCACTTCCCAGCAGTCAGGTTGCTCCCAAGCAAATTTTCCTGGCCCCTGATGCCCTGGGTTAGACCGGCTGTGGCCACGGGTAGTTCGCACACAGGCCCGATGGGTCGGGGGTGGGGTGGGGAGCCCTGGCTGGCTTGTCCCATTGTTGCAGTACAGGAGACCACCCGTCAGCCAGCTCAGTGAATGAAACACGCTGTCTAACCCACTGGGTTCCCCTCCTGGTGCTGCCCCTGTTTCGGACCAAGCTGTTTCTCTGCTGAGGTCTCAGCACTCCCGTTCTCAGCCAGCCTTGTCTCCTCTGCCAAAAGGGAACTGGCAGCTTTGCTGGGGGTTTTCCCCCGTGCTGGGCATCCCTGATGTCTAAGTCCTTCACCAGACCTTGACATAGGCCATCTTCTATCACTGTTGTCTGCTTACTGCTAATTTTTTGACGTACAAGATAATACAGTAATTTGCACACATCCTAAGTTTGCTGCTTAGTAGATTTTGACATAATGTTTATACTCATGTGACCGCCACTCAGATCAGACATTTCCATTTTCATCACTTTGGAGGCTCCCCCCATCCCCCTTTAAGTCAGAACGCCATAAAGTTAACGCTATAGTGACCTCTACCACCATGGGTGAGTTTTACCTCTTTAAAAAGCTTTATATACTATACTGTTTTGCATCTGACTTCTTTTGCTTATCATTATGCAAACTAGCGGTCTATTGCTATGTAAGAAATCACCCCAAAATATAGTGACTTGAAACAACAACAGTCAGCTCTTTTGCTCATTGATCTTCAGTTTGGGCAGGGCGTACAGGGTATGGTTCGCCTCTTCGCCATCAGCAACAGCTAGGGCAGCTTGACTAGGGGCTAGAAGGTCGATTTCAAGATGGCTCACCTGCATTGTGGGCAAGCTGGTGCTGACCTGACAGCTGGTGGCTCAGCAGGAGCTGTGGGCCGGGCCTTCTGTTGCTGTCTGCGTAGGTGTCTGCATAGGGTGCTTGGGATTCCTTAAAATTCCCAAGAGAGTGAACATCCTAAGGGAACAGAGTGGAGGAGGAGGGCATTTGTATAACCTAACCTCAGAGGTCACATAGCCTCACTTTGGCCAAACTCTATTTGTGTAGGCAGTCCTGAAAGCCTTCCTTGGATCAAGGGGAAGGGATATAGACTCTACCGTTGGATGGGGATGTGAGAAGGTTCCAGAAGAGCATAGGGGATGGGCGATATAGGGGTCACTATCTTTGGAAAATGCATTCTGCCACATTATGTTTGCAAGTTCATCCACGTTGTAACATGTATTTGTAATTCGCTTTTTAAAATTGCTGTATAATACATCATCATGTACATAGACTAACTTGTTCAGCCTACTGTTGACATTTGAATTGTTTGTAGTTTTGCGCTATTTGAAAAATGCTGCCATGAATATTATACAGATGTTTTGGTGAACAAAGATGGCCTTATATCACTGTTGCTGTCTCTCTGGCTTTTAAGATTTTAAGAATCATACAGTTCTATCCCCTTTTATTTTTCTCTTTCACCATCAGTTACCGTAGCCATATGTACTTTAGTATGTAATTCTCTGCTAGTGTTTTTAAAATGTTGAAAGGCAATTATATCAGTATTACATAAATATATTCTCTTTATAAAAACTTTCAGCCTTACAGTTAAGGTTAAATTTCCTCGTGACACCACTTGCCACGTCAGGCCCTTTCCGCCTCCCCCGAGGTACCCCATCACCAGTGTGTCAGGTCTCCTTCTAGAACTTCTTCTTATGTATTTACACACATAAATATTCTCATAGAAAATATTGTTTTCTGTCTCTGTGGGTGTAGCGAGGAATAAAATCTTTATACTACTCTGACTTGCCATGAAATGGAATGAGAATAAAATGTACTAACAAACTCGTAGAAGATTCACGCATGAAAAGTTCCCTTATAAGTATTTTATAGACATCCACAGTTGCAAAGGAATGCTTACCAAAGGAATGACCCTTATCACAAGAAATTGGGCAAGTGTCAGCGACTCATATCCAAACCAGCAGAAACACTCCCTGCGTGTTCTGTTCCCAGGTTATCGGCAGTGAAACTACAGATGGAGCACGCAAGAGATAACACGAAACACCCAAGGGCAGAGCCGAGAAAGTGCACAACGCCAGAAATTCCTTCGTCCCCTTCTGCCCCCGGTTCTCCTACATAAACTAACCAGGACACCTGAGATGCTAAGATGGGCTTTGAGACGAGAGTCCCCCATCCTCCAGGTTGCTGTCACCTGAATAAAACCACTTCATTTAACATCAGCATCAGCCTCTCAAGTACTGGCTTTTGAAGTGGCAGGCAGCCAGACCTGTGTTTGGTTACATGGGTTTTGGTTGGTACAACGAGTGACATCATACGGTTCTACATTTTGCTTTTTCACTCAAAAAATATCTTGGAGATATGACCATAGAATTGCATGTAAATCTACTTCACTTTATAAACTGCCAAATAATGTTTCATAGTATTATACCACTGCCATTTAGCCATTTGGCTATGAAAGGACATGTAGGTTGTATCCTTCCTTGTTGTGTGGCATGTGCCCCATGAATTGGAGGTCAGGCCTTGCACACTGTAGTGTTGTCAGTACTTGATGAATGCAGATGCATTCCTGCCAGGGAAAGAGTTGCTGGAGCCCTGGATCTGTGCCCCTCAATGTCTCTTTTCTCTTCCCTGCAGAGACGTCTCAGAGAGGCTGTACAGCTGCTGGAGGACTATAAGCACGGGACCCTGCGCCCAGGGGTCACCAATGAACAGGTAACTGCTGCAGGTGGTGAAGGAAGGAAGGTCACAAATTCCCAACCCTTTCCCTGGAGCCAGGATTGCTGCTTTTTCCTTCATTAACCACTTCTACTCTGGCTACATACCTTTGTGGACTTCTGGGTTTTTGGAGGGGAAGCTCAGGTCTCTGCTGTACCCTGCGTCTGGTGGGGAGCATGAGACTGATGAGTTCAGAGAAGCCCAAAGGCAGTAGTTTGCTGGAGCTGACATGTGTATACCTCTTCCCAAGTCCACATTTAGTGACATTGCAGCCATAGCTTGAAATCAGCCACAGTGGCAGTATTTACACCAAGGAAACTGGGAAATGCTACAAATTAGGAATCTTTTCCCCTAAAGAATCTATTATTAATTATTTACCACCATACCACTCCCCAAAAGTTTAAATTGAGTGGGGGAAGGACGGGAGCAGATGGTGGGGATTAGGCTAGGCCACTGTAATTTCATTTTTTTAACCCTCACCCCAGGATATATTTATTGATTTTAGAGAGAGGGGAAGGAGAGTAAGAAAGAGAAAGAGGAATATTAATGTAAAAAATAAACAGCAATCAGTTTTCTCCTGTACATGCCCTGACTGAGGGTTGAACCCACAATCTAGGTATGTGCCCTGACTTGGAATTGAACCTGTGACCCTTTGGTGTATGGGACAATGCTCCTACCAATTGAGCCACCTAGCCAGGGCTATAATTTCATTTTTTAAAAATACTATGTAGAAACTTGAACTAAGGCTCATTGAAATATTGATGATTGTGTTTGGTTTTGGGGAGGGGTAGGTAGATGTAGTGTAAGGCAGCTTTAATGATTAGAGAGACTGATAGTTAATGTGCCAACGTTCTTCTCTTTGTTTATAAACTTTATTTCAAAAACTTTTGAAAATTAACTTCACATTTTTTAAAAGTAATATGTGTGCATATTTCAAAAAAATCAAATAGTACTAAAACATTTGTAAGGGAAAATAGTATGCTGCCCTTCATCCCTTTTCAATTTCCATTTCTATCCCCTAGAAGCAAATACTTTTTGCTGTTTCTTCAGATAGAAATCTATATTTCAAACTAGCATATTTATCTCTACTGCTATTTCTTAACTAATTCTTTCGCATGGTAGTTGAGAATTCAGGTCTCTTATTATCCACCCCCATAAACATGCCTCTCTTCCCTACCCTCATCACACTCCCAAGATAGTTATCATGGTTTGGGGTCTATGGATATTCAATATTCACATTAAAATCATATAAATAACATTTAATGTAGAATCAAGTTGACTGTACCATGACTATGTTTCCTCTGTTTTTAAACTTTATGTTTTATGTGCTGTTAACAGTTGCCTCTTTTTTTCTAATTAGCATAGTTTTCTTTGTACCATCTCCAGTTCTTACTACACCTTCTAGGGATATTTTCAGTGCCTCCTTTCAATCCTGAAGAATCCAGTTCTTCGGTTCCATTTTTTCCCTGAAAATTTCCTTCCTGGGGCCCACTTCCTCCAGCTCTGGGCCTTCCCCTTGGTATATGTATACTTTTATTTTGGTGGAATACCTCTTCCAGTAGTTTCCTGGAAAAAAAAAAAGAGTAAATGGGAAGAAAATTTTGAGTACTTTTTTGCCTGAAAAGTTATAAGTCTGCACTAAGTTTTAATTGACAGTTTGGCTGAGGAGAAAATTCTAGTATGACAATCATTCTTCTCCAGAATTTTGAAGACCTTGCTCTATTGTCTTCTGGCTTCCAGGATAGCAGTTGAGAAATCCAATGCTATTTTATTCTTTATTCTTTGCAAGTGACCTGTTTTCATTCTTTGGGATGTTTAGGTTCTTCTCTTTATCTGTAGAATTTATTTCTGAAATTCCACAATGCCATCTCTTTCAAAATTCATTATTCTGGGCTCCTTGTGATTGCTTTAAGTCTGAATACTCCTGTCTTTCAGTTCTGGCAAATTTTGTCAGACTTTTTATTTGATAATTTCTTCTCATTTTGAAACTCCTATTAGTCAAATATTTGACATCTTAGACTGACACTCAGATTTTCATATTTTTTTTCCCCTTCTATTCCTTGACTTTGACCTGCTGTTTGGGTTTGCAGGAACTTTCCTAAAGTTTCTTTTGAACATACCTATTGAATTTTTAACTTCAGCTGGAATAATTTTAATTTCCATGAGCTCTTTGATTTTTTCTTTAATTTATTTTATTTTTTAATAGAATCCTCTTCCTGCTTTGTGAATATAGTATCATCTCATCTCTCTGCATTCTGGAAAGCAAGGAGGTGAAGGAGGCTGGGATCCCAAAATTCACTACAGACATTCACTAATTTCCCTAGTTTTAGCCTTACCTGCTCCCACTTCCCATTGTGCTAGTGTTCCCAGCTTTGGAGTCACTGTAATTATTTCTCCAGAAGACTGATCAACTTTCAGCATCTTGTAGGGACAAGGTGAGGGCATTAAGAGTGCCCTTGCTATGTGGGGAAGAGCTGGGGGTATTACTGCTTTGAGGACAGACTTTCAGTCAACCCCTGTGTCTAGCCCTATGATTAGCCCCTTTTTTTCTGCACTACCTGGTCTGTGTCTCCAAATCCTGAGCGTTGCTGGTGTCCTTGGAGTGATGGGCTGGCTCCTTAAACACACCCTCTTCAGGCACAAAGAGGTTGGCTTCCTCCTCTCTGCTGGGTCAGTGACTAAAACTCTACTTATTTTCCATCCAAAAACATGTTGCTGTTCTTCCTCTGCTGTCTTCCCTTCCGTTCTTTGGTAACAATGTGAGGCACTGCCCCTGCCTTCTCCTGGCACCTTTAGGCACAAAGCCCATGCTGAGGCTTTAGGCTGCTAACCCGACACACCAGTGGCTGGTGGGGTGTTCCTGGGACAAGTGGCTTAGCCATCAGCCCTCCCCAGTCCAGTTCATTTCAGTGTGTATTTAGGGAGCACCTATAGGCCAGGCTTGGTGCCCGGGCTTGGGGGAGAGAGCAGGGAAGAAACCAGAGGAGGGACTTGCTTCATGGACACCCCAGAATCTAGGCAACAACAGTGAAAATACATGATACTGTGGGAGAGTGGAGGAGGGAGGAACCCACTGAGACTAGGGGTTTCTGGAGGAGATTTCTCTCCAGAGATTTGAGGGATATGAAGGGGCTGGTGAGGAGGAGGCACTGATAGGAACAGCCCAGACAAGGAAGCACAGAGAGAGCAAGGCCCCCAGTGGAAGCGATGGAAATGTGCTCCACTGCAGCCCAGCTATGTGAAGGGCAAATGCATGAGTGGATGCAGCACCTTGGCCAGATGTCTTTGTGCAGGGCTCTGGCAAGTGACATGAGACAGCACAGTTCTTGGCTAGGCTGCATCCAACCTCAGGCATGGCGCTGCCTGCTGAGTTGGGGGCAGCTGTGAGGAGGGAGGGCGGCCATGATCTCCTCCTTCTTGGCTCGGTACTCCCCTCTGGCCCTGGGTACCGAGGAGCCTGGGTGGCATGACCTGACAGCCCCTCTTTAGGCCAAAGAAATCCTCAGACCGCTGCAGTTCCTCTCAGATTCATCAGGGCCAGGTTCAGCCTCCAGCCCTTCCTGATCCTGTGTCCGAACCTAGCCAAGTTCCCCTCTGACCCATCCTTGCTGAAGTTGGCCTCTGGGACTCCTTCCAGCTTCCAGAGTTTGGGGAATGAGGCCACCTTTCCCCTCTTTGCTTCCTTCATTTGCTTAAAGCTGCCCATCCTGTTTCCTGGGCCTCCTTTTTTTTCCCATCCTGAAAGCCCCCATGTACCTCCAGGGAGCTGGGAGGAGGCGAGGTAGGGGGCCTCAGGCACTAGCTGTGCTTCCCTTTCTGGCTTATCTCAGTGAGGCCTGCAGGGTCCACCTGGTGGCTCGATGGCCCAGTGCGGTAGGTGTGAACCAGCCCCCTAATAGGCGGATCCTCCGTCTCCCTCCCTCCCTGTCCTCTTGGCTCCCCAGAACCCTGGGGCGTGGGCTCTGTGGCAGCTCTCACACTGCTTCTTCCCTCCCCAGGCCTCAGTGTGCAAAGCCACACCTGCCTCTGGCCTTTAGAGACACAAGAACTGAGGGGACAGGTGATGACATTCCAGCTCAGGATTTGGGGAAACCTAGGCAATCTACAATTAAAGACAGTCCTTGTTCCTGGTCCAGGCTGGCCCTGCTCAGGCGTCATTTCCATGCCCTCTGAAGAGGCCCAGGGTGGTTCTTCATCTCCGTCTGGACAGTAGCCCTGTCTGCTCCCAGGCCCTGGGCCTGCCCGGATGTGCTGTTGCAGGCTTGTGAGTCAGAAGCCTGTGCCTGTGTCGGATGCCGTGGGCCTGTCCTGATGTCACGGATAGCATTGGGTAACCTGTGTGCCCGCTTGTTATGTAACCTGCGCTCCAGTTACAACCTCTCACCGGCGGGTACACACAAGTGGATTGACAGTTTGTTCACACCCGATGGCCATGGTTTGGTCTTCTGTTAGCAAGGGCTAGCATCTCCTCCTGAGACTGTTAATGTAGTAAAAGGTTGCTACATCAATGAATAGTTAATTCTGAGGATAAAATAGAAATAAGTATAATTTACCCTTCAGGCTTAATAGATAAAACTTTGATGTGCTAGGAACCCTGATAAGGAGTGAAATTATCGATTAAACAAAGCCACAGATGAGAGCAAACATAAATATAGGCAGTGCAGTTTCTGGGTATTGACTTTGCTGTGTGCACTTTACGTGCGCAATGGTTTGGCATGGACGGAGATGGGCGGGGTTAAATACGGCAGATCCCCTTGCCCCATGGTGGTGAGCCCCAGCCTCTGCATGCTCACCAAGTGCCAGGCACCATGCTAAGTACTAGCACTTTACCTGCATTACCTTAATTAATCTTCACAGGAACCCTATGTGGTAGATACCGGCCTATATTAACGCAGTTTTACGGGTAAGAAAACTGAGGCTCAGAGAGGTTAAATTATTTACCTAAGGTCACATAGCTGGTATGCGGTGGGACAGGGGTCTGATGCTGGGCCTGTAAG